ACTCTAATTGTGGTTAAATTAATAGTTTCCATTTCTACCGAAATAAAGTTTTCCGCACTCAAATGCCATCTCTAATTCACTTCGACAACAACGTAACTTAACTGCAAAAAATACGTCGGGAAATTTTTTCCGTAACCCGTTATTTATAACACTTTTCACACATAATCATTCACGAGACGTACATCGGTAATACATTTCTGCGATTTATCGAACTCAATTTCTAATTTATTAAAGCTCATGTCAGATTCCACAGCAAACACATGTAACGGCTTCATTCAAAATTACTTTTCAAAACACTTATGAAGCTGATGCAAATGCCACTTTGATTGAACTTTTACACCGTTAGCCTCAAGAACTCCTGAGGCGAGGTGCAACAGAACGTGTTCGCTTGGCCGCGGCCGAGAAAGTATCAACTGAAGACGCTGGTTGGTCACATACCAGGCGGGTCGAGCACAAGTATCGCTTTTTATCTAAGAGGTTATTCGATTTTTAATTCATTTCATATTTTCCTTATTGTTTTGCAGGGTTTGAGTGAACTACTTTGTTTGAGGATTTTACTTCCTCGTGTTGTTTAGTTTTTATGATATTTTCGTGTGTATTTCAACTGACTTGGCTTGACTGCGAGAGTAACTTTCACTTGGTCACATTAGTCGCATCAGTATGTTACCTTATTCGATATGTTTACAATTGTGCTTTAAAAAATACGTGAAGTTCATTCAAATCACAGCAATGTTTTGAGGCAGTTGATGGTTTAGATGGAGCGACCGCCGACCAAAAGGAAAGGATGAAAACACAAACTCAGGCCTTGATGCAGACCATAACAAGACTTAGTTATTCAGGTGAAAATTCTGGGTCATTAACTTGAGGTTAACCTCATGTAGAAAGAAATGCTTGACTAAATTTATGCAAAAAGGAAGTAAGTTGGCCTAGTGGTCTTAACTACAGGAATTTGGGAACTTTTATCATCAACCCACATACGACGTATTCCTGAAAATTCCATCTGGCTTTCCATTTGAAAATTATTTCTCGAACATTGTTTGCATTTTAATCACCGTGGTTAAGATTTCAGCAATTAGTTCTTATTCAATGTCATAAAATCGTTCAGAGCAAATAAGCATCCTTGCTTCCTCCAGAATTTGAACATTAAAGATTAAATGGCAAAAGCCACTACAAGATACCAATCTTTGTTTAAGTTCCTCATATTTTCGGTCAAACTTTCACTGAGTTTTCTATTCACAGGTTCTCATAGAAAATGTGTCATAGAAAACGGTTTGTCACCCTTAACTACCTAAAATAAACATCCGAAGGTAATTATCTCAGATTTTAAGATTTAAATTTTAAACCATGCTGTTTCACCAATCTGTACGTTTCCGATCAATTTGATTCAGTTTATATTTCATGAAACAAAAAATTTCGGTAATACTTTAGATTAAGTGCATCCAAAAAAGGGTGTTTTTTTAATTATATGTTTTTTGGGGTGCAGATTAAGAATTTGAAATCCGTTTTTGGCGGTCGGCATCGGGAATTTTTAATGGAACCTGTTCCTAACTGGACCTATCCTGCGAGGTTTTCGTTGATCGGCTAGGTTTTTTCGGCCGCCGGACGGACTCCAGACATAGAAAAACCTAGCCGATCAACGAAAATCTCGCAGGTTAGGTCCAGTTAGGAACAGGTTCCATTAAAAATTTCCGATGCCGACCGCCAAAAACGGATTTCAAATCCTTAATCTACACCCAAAAAAACATATAATTAAATAAAAAAATACCCTTTTTTCGATGCACTTAATCTAAAGTAATACCGCGGCTATGCCCACAAGGTACCGCTTTACCTTCACTACCGCATGACCGATGTTTACTAGTTACATTATTCTCGTGCTACCGGTGAAGTTAAATACGTAACGAAAGAAAATATTTAGTAATTTTCCTAATCTGAATGTAGATTTAATCAAAGTTACATGTTTCACCATAGCATCGTTGAGGCTCCAAGTATGAACACGTTCAAGAACAGACTAGATAAAGCTATGGAAAAATATATGTTCAGCCTTGAAATGCCTAGCTCCATATCAAACCCTGTGGAAGTCGAGTAGCTACTTCAAACTATCGTCAGTCATGAAAAGATCCGGTCAAATGACACGATTTAGATCTTCTGTGAACAAGGCACGAAAAGTTCAAGAATCGGCGACAGGCCGCATCAAGCCTACACTTCAGCGCCGACATCACAAATGTTATGTTATTGTTATGTTATGTTATGTGTGTTATGTTATGTTATGTTATGTTATGTTATGTTATGTTATGTTATGTTATGTTATGTTATGTTATGTTATGTTATGTTATGTTATGTTATGTTATGTTATGTTATGTTATGTTATGTTATGTTATGTTATGTTATGTTATGTTATGTTATGTTATGTCCTATATTTTAATATGACGTATATCATATATTGGAGAAGAAGACGGACTCGACGTAGAACGGGATTATTGCTGCCAAATCTACATAATTTCTATTATAATTTAAGGATATTATATCGTTCATTCAAGAATGACACATCCAAGTTCAGGTTTAACTCGTAACTTCTAAGAATTCTATTTTGAGCTTTTTTTTCAAGCCACTGGGCGATCATTTGCATCGCAAAAGAACTCCCAGTCTCTCATACAACTTCAGTATTAAAGTTTGAAAGATTTAATACTTATAATTTTTAAAATTAAATGGAAAGTTACTAAATTGGAAATAAAATTTCATTCTTAAAACCTCTTTCTCTCTCTCTTTTCAAAGCCTCATGACCTCAACAGCGAAAATAAAATTTCAGTTTTCGATGAGATCACGAAACGTTCGGTGTTGCGCATACACGTTTAAACAGCCCTTATATATTTTCAGCGCCAGGCTTATAAGAAACGAACAACCAATTAAAAATATTGTATGTATTTTTGAATGTCTTGCTTATCAGAGGCGTCTCAAAGAAAATATTTAGGGACTATTCGGAGTTTTTTTTTCGGATTTTGTAATAGGAAATAAATTTGAGTTATAAGTTCTATGTAAAATGTAAGATAAAAAATGATAATGACCTACTTGTATACATAAAATGCATTGTTAATGCCGAGATTCTTATGAGTAAGTTCACATCAAGTATCAAGAATGTTGTCCATGGAAGTGAGAGCTTCGGTTACAAAGAATCATATTGACAATCAGTAATGAATTTAAAGGCGCATAAATTATAGGAACGCAATTAATGGATGAATAATAATTTCAGAGCTCGTATTTGTTCTATGTTCAAATGGTGTAACTTCAAAATAAGTATCTAAATATTTTTATTGATTTGAAATGGTTCAACTCCAACTCAGTCAAACCTAATTCATTACATTCCTTAGCATGTTAATTTCTTGTTAGATTGGATAGATTGTTATTAAGTGTTCAAGCTCAAGAAATAAAAGAATTATTTAAATCCAGCGCATTTTTTTCATGAAACGTAAGTCCCTGAGTGTCCTTGGTGATGCGACCACGTCTGCTGAGCATTGGTTATATTATTAAATTATATAATATAATATAATATAATATAATATAATATAATATAATATAATATAATATAATATAATATAATATAATATAATATAATATAATATAATATAATATAATATAATATAATATAATATAATATAATATAATATAATATAATATAATATAATATAATATAATATAATATAATATAATATAATATAATATAATATAATATAATATAATATAATATAATATAATATAATATAATATAATATAATATAATATAATATAATATAATATAATATAATATAATATAATATAATATAATATAATATAATATAATATAATATAATATAATATAATATAATATAATATAATATAATATAATATAATATAATATAATATAATATAATATAATATAATATAATATAATATAATATAATATAATATAATATAATATAATATAATATAATATAATATAATATAATATAATATAATATAATATAATATAATATAATATAATATAATATAATATAATATA